AGTCAAATGGCAGTTGTAGGGATAAGACCACACCTATCACTTTTAGAACAAACAGAAGAATATAAAACGTGTCTTTACATTGTTGCTGTCTGTAAAACTTCAGTCTGACCTTTTCACCATATGTAGCAAAGAGGAAGCAAGCTACTATTTTATCTTCACTGCAGATATATAACCCAAAAGGTTCCATACTTGCCTCAATTACACAAATTTGTGGCTCCTGTCTGTCATCATCCACTGGAACTTTTGCCTGATTCATGACCCATTCCTGAACTGCATCAGTGATGTGTGGAACAACTACAAGACAAAACCAAAGAAGGTAAGCCTAGCTTACTTTACCTTAGTTTAATTTTTGCATTCAAAGGGGGAAAAATGAACAGCAAGTCAAGAGGAAACTACTAGGTCCTTTCTCTATTCCTCCTTGCCTTGAGCCCAGAACCCTAATGTTACATGAATATGCCCGTAACTCTTGGAAGGGAGCAAGTAAGGTGGTGCAGCAAGGAGCAGCCCGTTCTAGCTGATTGCTTCTTTTGTGAAGACTGAATGGACTAGTATCCCACAAAATTAAAAATATTACCTTGAACGGTTTTCCCCAGGTAATCACCATGTCTTTCTTTATTAATGACATGTTGATATATCTTTCCAGTGGTGATATTGTTATCTTTATAGAGATTGATGTCCAAAAATCTCTCATAATTTCCCAAATCCAAGTCAACTTCTCCACCATCATTCAATACAAAAACTTCACCTGAAAAAAGAAAGTGAAAACAGATGGGAAAACAATAAAAAATCAGAAATTATCAAACACCCAGCAGGAATACCAAAAATGTCTTAAAATAGAAGAATTTTTCTTTTAAATGACAGAACAACACATCAATAAAGCACATACTGCAACCCAACCTATATTGCCATTCTGTGAGACTTAATATCCATGTCATTAGTTCTACATCTAATGTCTGTCCCTCAGACACACAGAGTTTTGCAAATAAATAAAAGTTGTATTGCCAACATATTGAAGTGACTTTTAAATATTTAACCAGCATTTCAACAGCTCTACAACCCGTCATCAGAAGGTAACAATCTCCAGGAATCATAAATGAGCAACAAAATAATAATCTACTTGTAGGAGACAAAATCTGTGTTTTTACAAGCATGAATTATACATGTTCAAAGTGTTTCACCATAAATTCTTGTTGTTTGGATCTATTCCAGTGATTAAGGCATGGATTAGCAGTAAAGTTATGATGAATATGTTTCTTCAAACATGATCACTGTTTCTTATTCAGTTGTTCCATTCTGTGTATTTGGTTCACTATGTCCACAGCGAAGGTTATTTCTGACACTGAAAAAATTAATTGAAGTGTCTTCAAGGTTTCCTTAGGCCTCTACAGAGTCTCTAAATTCTGAATCTAGTCAACTTCTGAAGGAACTAAAGATGCTAGATCTTGAGGTAAGGCTGGAAAGCTCTTCAGAAAAACTGCAAAATATTTTGCCCAATGAAACAATGGCTAAGGAAGTTACAGGACTAATGCACACACATACACGCAAAAAAAACCCCACTCCAACTAACCAACCAACCAACCAACCAACCAAACCAAAAACAACAACAAAACTCCTCACTTCCCCTGAAGGTATAATGTGGACTACAGAAACAGATATTCCACCAAGGTACAACACTTGAAGGTACTTGAATGAACAGCCTAACAAATCACCCCAATGTGTTCAACAGAGTGGAAGATTTACGCCTGATTTTGTGAGGCACTTAGTACCTCCTCCATATTAAGTCATCATTTCAGCCAAGAAATTATTTGAGCCAACAGATGTAGAGTGGAACCAACATTTCTCTTAAGCAAGCCTTGGAAGAATAAAAAAAAAATACATTGTTAAAAAAACCTCTTTAGTTAACTGGAAATCACTAAATTGAAATTCTTTGACTCAATCATATTTTTGTCAAAATGTTTACAGAAGAGGATCCCCATTCTGGTGTGTGTGAATTTTCACGTACTACTCAGCAAGCCAGTTCTTCTTCACGAGCAGTAAGAAAGAAACTCAAGTGAAGAAAGGAATTACATGCCATAGTGTTCCCTCTCCTGTACCTGATCCAAGGAAGGAATACATACATCCTCACAATCTCAAGTCATCGTAGGAGTTTTAACACCTGCTCAACTGCCTAAGTAGCACCAGGTGCGCTCCTGAAAGTGTAAAACTACTGGATTAGTTAAATTTTCCTTTTTGAGAGAGGTCTGACAAGCTGTGCTTTTCCTCCACTCAAAAAGCAAAGTGGTCTTTTTTCATTTCAGGAGATATACACATTTACCTTCAGTTCTAAAAATATGTACAAGTAAAAAGCCACACAGCTGAAGGAACGTTCAACATTTTAAAAGCATGTCAAACTGTCTTGTAGCTCATCAGCAACACAGTCAATACAACCAAGTTGGCTTAGACAGCTAACCAACCAAACTAAGCATCTACTAGAAAACTGTATCATTAGCTGGCTCTCTAAGCTTCACTGATGTTTTTGACAACATCCTTTCTGACTAAAACGAGAACTTAGGCTAACTCTCATGAAGGCACTTACACTAGAAGGCACTGACACCCAGAGAACAGCATTCACAAGTAACTGTTGAGGACTTAAGTTTCAAATAAGTTTTGTAGCACTATTGAATTTTTTCCTAATCAAGTTGAGCTGAAGATAGCATTAACTGAACAAGGCTTTCAGCTAGGATTTTCCCATTAGGGTGGTATTTTATAGAAAGGAGGCATCTGCTCATAATAGTATCTTCAACAAACAGGCTTCTCTTTACTTAGAGCAGACAGTACACTTGAGAACATATCATAAGCAATAAACTTGCAAAACAATTCTAAAATTACTAAGTACCATACTACCGGCTTTTAGAAAACAAAACCAAAACACATTATTGTGAATACATATATTTATGCTAAAGGGAACAGCATCAGTCTTCATACCATGTTCATATGGTGAAAAGGTTCCGGCATCTATGTTTATGTAAGGATCAATTTTGATCGCAGTGACACGTAGACCACATGATTTCAGAATGGTGCCAATGCTGCTTGCAATGATCCCTTTGCCAATGCCTGAGATGACACCACCAGTCACCAGGATGTACTTCATCGGAAAATCAGCGCTCACAAACACAGACCTTGAGCTGGAAACCTGAAACAAAGATGTACATCTGATGAATGCAATTTCATGTCAGGGAAAAAACCAGACTCAGTCTACAAAGAACTGAAGTTGAAATGACCTATGACCATTCTGGATACTGGGAGCAGGATTCACCTCTCCCAGCTTATACATTAATACATAAGCTAAGCACCTATGTTGTCCCAAAACAGGTTCTTTCACCCAGTGCACGAGAGGCTGATCCATACACAGAGTCGATGTATTTTATTTATTTCCAGTTCTGTGCAGAAAGGGGTGCTGAGTGGCAAATCCACAAAGCCAACAGGACCACTACCAATTCACGATTTATACTTTTTAGCAAACAAAAGCACTAACGTTCATTGGCTACAAGTTACATTTCTCCATCCCATCTGAAATAGGATGACGTGTGTGTTTCTTCCACAATTGAACTCATATTCCATTCAGGCAGTTGTGGAGGCTAATCCCTGGAACAATTTTTGAACAATGATAGCATGACTCACCACAGAGCAAAAACTCTAGGGTCAAGAAAATCTTTCCTTACTCAGGGATCCAGTTCATCCAAAATACCACCAAACAACAGGGGATCTAATGGCACTCAGTATAAATCAAAGCAGTACAGTTCTTCATCGGATGGTAGTAAGAAGCAGCCAGTGAATAAACATTGTATTTCTTCCCTTTACTATACTGAAATAGCAAAAAGAAGGCCTGGATCTTCGGGAGATTGAGTTCAGGAATGTAACAATGTTATCTATGCTCTTGCATTTATGGTAATTAAATGGAATTAAAGGAATTAATAAATTTATTAATAAATTAATTAAAATTAAAAGAATTAATATGCTTTTCGATATGGACAAAAGGAAGACCACAACCATTACAAGTATTTAACTCAGGAGAAAAGGATCATCAGGAACTAATTTTTCCCTGCCATTTAATTTGTAATTTTTCTAACAGCACAGACTTTATGATTTGGAGCCTTCTACCTCTGTTTCAGACTATTCCTTCATAACTCAGCTAACTGCACTTGTCACATTTCATGAACATCTAAGCCATTTTCAAAGTTATTTTCAGGAAGAGGGGGGATAATTTTAACAACAAGTATAAATCTTGAGTTCGTGCCAATTCAGAACTCTAAAATCTTGCTTACAGGAATCAAAATAAAAAGCTCGCTGTGATTTTAGGAAAAACAGCGATTTCCCAGCAGACTCAGGAAATGCGATGTTTACTCGCAACAGAGACAGAGAACTCCGCGTGCTTTCGGACGTCACTTGTAAAAGGAGTGGGAAGCAGGGGAGGGAGAGCTGAAAGCGTACACTGCCAGAGATCATTTCGCCGGGAACTGGCACACGAATTACTCCATCCAGCCTTATCCGCGGGAGCCGCCGCCTCCAGCCGGGATTTGCGGGCGCCGCACCCCGGACGAGCCGCCCCGCGCTGAGCGCTCGGAGCGCCGCGGCCGAGCGGGGAGAGGCCTCCGACTTACGTGGGTGCCGCAGGCGGGCGCTCCGATGGCGGCCCGGGGGGACGACGACGACGAGGAAGCGCCGCCGCACCGCAGCGAACCGCCGGGGGGGGCGGCGGCGCCCCGGGGGAGCCGCAGGCGAGGCGGCTCCGAGCGCAGGCGGGGCGGGACGCGGCAGCGCCAAGCGCTCGGCACCGCGGGGCCCCCCACGCGACACGCGCGACAGTCGCGACAGGTGCTGCCGCTCCCGCCCCGCGCGCCTCCGCTCCGCCCGCTCCCGCCCCTCTCCCCGCTCCCGCCCCTCTCCCCGCTCCCGCCCCTCTCCCCGCTCCCGCCGCCGCTCCCGGCGGAAGTGGCGCACGCGGAAGGAGCGCGGAGCGGCCGCCCCGGTTTCCGCAGGGCAGCGCCGGGACCCCCCGAGCGCGGCCGCCACCGCCCCCGGAGATGCTGCGCGGCCTGGGCAGCTGGCTGGGGCTGGAGCGGGCCGGGGAGGAGCAGCTGCTGCCCGCCGGGAACAGGAGCAGCCCTGAGGAAGAGCAGGAGGAGGCGGGTCCGGCCGCGCCGGAGCAGGAGCAGGAGCAGGGGGAGCTGCAGGAGGACTCGGAGGCGCTGCTCAGCCAGGCCAAGGGGCTCGGCAGTGAGTGTCCGGCGCTGCTCTGACATGTGAACAGAGTGCACGGCTGCGAACGTGCCTTTCGGTTGCCATTTCTCTCGGAGTCGTTATTAAAGCAGCAGCGTTTCCCTTCTGTTGGCGCTGTGGGAGGCGGGCTCTGTGTTGATAGGATAGGCCTGTCTGTACAGAATTAATGCACTTCGTGAATTAGGCTGTGGGGTTTTTTTCATAAGAAAATAATGGATTTTGGTAATGTTGAACTCGTCTGTCATCATAGAATCATATAATGATTTGGGTTGGAAGGAATCTTAAAAATCATCTTATTCCACGCCTCCTGCCATGGGCAAGGACACCTTGTTGCTCAGAGCAACACCGGGTTGCTCAAAGCCCCGTCCAGACTGGCCCTGAACACACCTAGGGATGGGGCAAAGCCATAATTTGCTGTAAGATCCCTACTTTACTATAGATTCATAGATACAATTAATCCAAAGTACGGATCTGTACTTGTTACTAAAGGGCTTTTTTAAATTGATGCTCTGAAATGCTGGATCAGTATAATTTGAGAGGTTAATCTGAGATGGTTCTTGACTCTGCTTTGTCTTGGGAAATCTGAACTGCAGCAGTTCTGCCTGTGTAAGTTTGATCAAATACTTGTCCTGTCTCGTTGTGGTAAATTGATTCTAATCTACTAATCGCTCTGGCTGTTCGGGAAGGAAAAAGAACTTTGAATTTCAGAAGTGTTGACTTATATAAAGTCCATCCCATAATTTGCTCTAGAAGCGAAAATTTGGTTTAGTGATCCATGGGTTCATTGTTCTTGTCATCAGGGTAGATTGTGGTAGAAAAGCTTTTTGATAAAGATTTGGACATCATTGTTTTAAGACATAATTCTAGAAACATCTGCAAGGCCAACAACCAGGGTAGCTATGTAGAAAAGATGACACATAAAGAATTTCCCTGGCACATTAACAATTTTACTGGTAAAACCAAAGCCTTACAGACATTATTTTTTGCTCATTATCACACCATTATAAAAGTTATGAAAGTTTTGCCAGTGTGAACTAATAATAACATTATTGCTAGATATGTGTTCTTAATACAGGCATAGAATGGTAAGATGGAGGGTAAGTTTTTTGGTCAGTTGAAAGTGGAAGTGTTGTTTTCCACCACTAATTCCATTTTTCTAAGGCTAAGTATCACCTCATAGTGAGGTTTTATAAGCACCGTACTTCAAAAACATATTTGCTCTTAATGAAAATAAAAAGCATTTTGCTCTTCAGCCTGATTCTGGCCAGAACTACTTTGTCCAACAATACCAGAATGTCACCAGAAAGCAAATGTCTGAGCACCTTTTGCACATAACACAATTGCATATGAGAAAGTTTCCAGGGATACGTGAAACAACCAATAAAAGCTGGTAGGGAGTAAGCAATCCAGTAGGCTGCTGCTTCCTCTGCTTTTGTAAGGGGAATAGTATATGTATTTATATCTGAAGTGTAGAAGTTTAGCATTTTTTTTTTGTATTTGAAGCACATGATGAGTTGTAAAGCCTGATAACAGATATGAAAGATGTTGGCAAGTACTTCAAGGATGTTTGGTTGCCACCATTCTGCGGCCTATAAATGGAAGTTACATATAAACCTGGCTTGCTTAAAGGCTGGCTAGACCTCTGCATATTTCAGTATTGATTTGGTGATATCATAACAAAGAGAATATTTTTACACCCCAAAGAACAGTCAGCTTTCCAAAAGGTGACGTCAGTGGTCCAAAATAACTCATTCTACCAGTGACTAACAACTGTGTGTTAAAGGAACTTGCTTTTTTTTTTTCTTGCATGGTAAGATTATTTCTTACATTTCTAACCTGTAAGGAAACTGGACATTTTGAGAGGTAGTGAGAAGGAAGGTTGTTCTGTTTCTGAAGGTTTATGGTATACATCTTGCTGCTTGCAAGTTTGTTCTCCTTAATTAAAAACTACTAATACAGTGCAGATGCCCACGCAACATCGTTTTCTCTGCCACCTCTCTTCACTTCAGCTAATATAAAAAATATGAGTCTTTGGGAATATTTGTCACTGCTGTTCTGATACTGAATATATTCAGAAAAGTAAGTGAATAGGGCTATGGTGCTTTTCATAGGCATAAAGAGAGGAAAGCAATGCAAAATAGATAAGGGCAAACATCAAGAGCAAGTTTGTATGTTAGGACTGAAGGAATATCAAATGTTACTTGCATGAAATTTTTCATGGATTTTCTGCTTCACTTTATGAGATTTTATTGTACATGTTGGTTTTCTTTATAAAATATATAAATTATTAATATTAAATTAAATATTATAAAATTATTACTATATATAATAATATATCATGTTTTAATACTGTGGCTAAGTTAATTTTTTGCTTCATGTCTCAGACATGCTTATATGAAATCAGAAAACACCCATTGCTTCAGAAAACTCATTGGAAAGCAGTATTTCAAGGACCAGTAGGAATGTTTGATTTAGTAAACAAGGTTCATGTATAAAAGTGGGATTTACACAATGTTGTGATACAGCATACAGTTCAATCATCGTCATTAAAGAATATATACAAGAAAAAGATAAAGAGAACTTTAGGAGTTCATTGGAGGCCAGAAGCTGGGTTAAGTTATTTTGAAAGAAACTTTTAAGTAGGTATCCAGAAGTCTAAAGAGAAGGAAAAATAAATCTATTAAAAGAACTGGATGTAAAGAGATCTTTTCTCAGGTCTTTCTTTTTTTTCTCTGTGAAAGGTTACCTCTTCAATTTTGCCACTGCTGCTACAAAAAAGATATCCGAATCCGTTGCTGAAACAGCACAGACAATAAAGAAGTCTGTCGAAGAAGGAAAAATTGACAGTATCATTGATAAGGTATTTTATTTCTAGATACTATCTGAAAAATTTGTTTGCATTCTGTTGTTGTAACGTGACAAATCTGGCATGTGATAACATTTCTTTAAGCTGTCTTCAGGTATTATGTATTTCAAGAGATACTGTGCATCTCTTGTCATGATGAACGATGGGACTGAAATGTGTATTCATGGTAGACTTCCCAAAAAATGGTCATCCTGCTTTACTCAGTACTGCACCTGCATTCCATTCCTTCGGCATGTTCAAACACTGGAGAAAGACCAAAAAAAAAAAAATATGGAAGATGCTGACACAGGAGGAAAGGCTGAAAGAGTTTGAGACAAGCAGCTGAGGGAATATCTGTCTGGAGATGTGTGGACTGAGTTTTTTCGCCCCCCAGTTTATTTAGGTGGAAGGAGGAATGCTGTAGCTTGCATCTTAAGTGCATCTCTGAAGCAAGAGTCAGAATTAGCTCAGTGCTGTGGCTGGTAAATCCTAAGACCCCAGAGCTATACAGTTTCAGAAAAGCCAGTGAGTTCATGAAACACCTTGCTATTGTCCTGTTCTTTTCCCCACCCTGACCCTGCACTTAGCTCTTGCCCTCTCTGTTCCTGGCTGCCAGCTCCAGTTAACTTCTGCCAGCAAGTGTTCTTCCAGTGCTTTAAGTCACAAACTTGGCCAAAGGGGAAAAAAAAGAAAAGGCAGTAAGTGCTATGTAGTGTTCTGTGTTTGTTCTTGAGGGTAGCTTGGAAAAGAAAGGGAAAGGGAACTGGTCAAAACCAATGCAGCTGCAGTAGGACTGTGCCTCCAGGAGCGTCTGATGGGAGATGCAGCCAGATCCCTCTTCCTGCTCCTGTCTCTGACAGCCCTTGAGGGGAATTACAGTATTGCCTTTTTTTATCTTTTTAATATTATGAAATTCAATTTCTTTATATAATTAATGTTCATGTTGTCTTCCAAATAAATCATTAAATGACACTTCTGAATTTCTATTATGGTCACATTTTGTTTTCGGATTTCATTGACAATAGTCTACAGTGTATTAGAATGTACTTTTGATCCACATAAAGTAAAAATGAAGTAAGAAGGTTATTTGTTAATTTAATACAAATAATAATGGTCCCAAGAAACTGTAGCTAAGTACCTACAGCATATTTTATGCCTAAAATATAATTTTCTTTTTTCTGTGAATGTCTTAGAGTAATATTAATTCCTTGGTTTGATTAATAAGTTTTACATATGAGAGAAACAGGATTATAGGTGTATCATTATTACACTTTCTTCTTATACCATATAAATTATTTTATTCCCTAAATAGAAAAAAATCATGTAACTTACAACTGGAAGGAACCACAATGATCTATTTGCATAATTGGCAAAAACTACTGTAGTTCTCACTGATAGTAATCTTAAACTGAAATAGTGGGTTGCTGAAGGAAAAAGAATTATAGGAATTTATCAGGATTTAGCTTGAAGACTTGTGCGCTTTATGGCAGCTTTTTAAGCCACAGACCTCACTGCATAAAATTATATTTTGTGAGCTGTTTAAATATTTGCTTCTAGTTATGGTTTTTTGCTTCTGCTTTCAATTACAGCACATTTGCATTGTTACTTCTAGATTGTGGCCAGTATTCTGGGACCATTCTCCAGTTGTTAATTCTACATTTAATATAGGATATTTCTGAATGAAATTTTTTTGAAAATTCATCAACAACGTAAATGAAGTTATTTCAGCTAAGCAGGCATTCTGAAAATCCTACTTTACAATTTTGAAGTCCAATGTACTGCAGTAATGCTTTAAAGCATGCTTAAATAAGTCTAAACAGTCTGTGTTGTCTGTATTTGATATGATAAGGCAGTAAGTGGATATGCAGAGTATGCCAGTGTTCAAATTATCAGCTAGTCTTTTTTGCTTGTCCTCCTAACTGGATAAAACTATAAATATAATTTTGAAAGGATACACAATAGTTATAACTTTTTAAATGCAAAATCAAATGTTTCAGTAAAGGGAAATGTATGATTGACATGAAACACCTTCAACTTACAAAAAGGGCTACCACAGATAGTAAGAATACACTTCTGCACTGTATTTGAAAGCATTTGCTGAGTGAACGTGAAATAAAAAGAGTGAATTCTTTTTAATTGTAGTTACCTAATTTTTATTTTAGACAATTATTGGAGATTTTCAGAAGGAACAGAAAAAATTTGTCCAAGAGCAGCAAACCAAAAAATCAGGTAATGTATGCTTTTTTCTTAATGCCTAACATCACATAAGTGAAAACCTGTGTAGTTGAGATACATCTAAAACTAATCTAACAAAGCTCTGCTTAATGAAACACACTATGGCCCAACTTAATGCATATTGTGCAATAGGAAGATGATATTTTTAAGTGAGGAGCCCCTGGTGGTCTAGTGGTAAGGGCGCGGCGCTGTCACCACTGAGGCCCGGGTTCGATTCCTGGTCAGGGCCACTCCCGGGCTGATGGAGCTCGTTAACCCTTAAAAATGCAATCCATCTACATCCTAAGGACCTCGCTGCCACCGTCCAAGCTCACTTGGCCCCAGCAGATGAACCTTAGGATTAAAGGGTGGGCTCAGTTCCGCGCACACTGTGTCTCACCTAAAAAATCCAATGCGCAGGCTGGAAGGTGTAAAGACCTTCCCCGGATCTTCGCTCGTGAAGACTGGCCATTATTATTATTTATTATTTTTAAGTGAGGTTAATATTACATTATCTTGCTTTTTTAACCAAATTCAGCTTTATGAAATTACCTCAGAGATCACTGTGCTAGTGCAGAGCTGATCTCTTGCTGCTGTTTTGAATCTTAAGCCTGTGTATTTATTGAAAACTGGCATGCTGATTTCTTCTGAGCTCTAGCAATAATGTCACACTTTCATAATGAAATTAAAAACATAGGTTAGGGTTTGCACTATAGTATTTAATTAGTTTTGCTTTAGGAGTTACTCTGCTTACATTAAAGACATAATTGCTCCTTTGCTTTCCCATAAATCATTTGCTTTGTAATTATCTGTGATCTAAATTCTTTGAGTTTTCCACCCATGTACTATTAATATCAGTGGATCTATTTAAGACTTTAAAATAAGCACAGTTGTTTTTTCACATTAAGTTTCATCATTGACTTTCATCTATTTTAACGTGTTACCTGATTGCAGTAATTTCTGACAGTTTGAATAATTAGTGACTCTCTTGTTAATCTTTAAAATGAACTGTTTTAAATGGATTGTGATAAAATTTTTCATGCTGTTTATAGTTAGTATGCTAGTCTGATTTCTTCTTGCAAGATTGCTTATGTGATCATGTTGTCTGTAACTCTTTTTGTCTCTGTTAGTAAACTTTGGCATCTCTCAATCTATTTCTACAAGCTTTATGAAAATAGGTAGCTACACTGGCCAAAGGTGGTGTAACAGAGGGCCTGACTGCAAGAAGCATTAGCATCAGATGGGAATCCATGTGGATGAAAGATCTTGCTGATATCTGATGCCATAGGCAAAGAAGCATTGTTAGTTTAAAGGCACAAGAGTTCTAAGTTAACTGTTACAGGTGCATCCTGTTGTCTCTGTAGGCTGAATTTGCACTGACGGTGAAAAAATTAATAAATATCTATACATCTACAATAGTTTATTTTCCACTCTGTACAGCCTATAGAACTATTTTGGAAGTACCTGCATAAATATGTAAATCAGCTGAACTCCAGTAGGCTTATTCAGTGTATAACATGTAATTTATAACAAATTTATAACCTTTTTCTCCATTGTTAAAGAATTGGTGTCTTCTGGGTGTAAGTTATTTTGTAAACTTAATTTAGACAAAGTTTACACATCCAAAGTGAATCTAGAAATGCTATTTGCAGACAATTTAGCCAGTTATACAGCACTACTTCAGTAACTAAACTAAGAGACACCGAGTTCTGACTGGTGCAAAGAAATCTCCACAGTTTTATTTTTATAATGGCCAGTCTTCGCGAGCGAAGATCCGGGGAAGGTCTTTCCACCTTCCAGCCTGCGCATTGGATTTTTTAGGTGAGACACAGTGTGCGCGGAACTGAGCCCACCCTTTAATCCTAAGGTTCATCTGCCGGGGCCAAGCGAGCTTGGACGGTGGCAGCGAGGTCCTTAGGACGTAGGTGGGTTGCCTTTAAGGGCTAACGAGCCCCACCTGCCCGGGAGTGGCCCTGACCGGGAATCGAACCCGGGTCTCCGCGGTGATAGCGCCGCGCCTTTACCACTGGACCACCAGGGGCTCCACAGTTTTATTTTTACAACAACAGAAATCAGCAACTATTTAATTATTATGTTTTACCTCTGATAAGTAAGGATCCATTTCTACAGCTTCTCTCTCATGCCATGAACTTAGTTTAAGAAAAAGGAACAATGAATAGGACTACTGGTATAACTCTGCTTATTTTCATGCCACTATATGTTATTTTATATAAGGCCTGCTTTGTTGTTTGGTGGGGTTTTTTTGAAGTAATAGTCACACAATTATCTTCCTCCTTTCAATAACAGAAGCCGCAGTGCCTCCCTGGGTAGACAGCAATGAAGAAGAAACAATTCAACAACAAATATTGGCCTTATCAGCAGTAAGTATTTAATTTCTTGTAAGATTTGAAATTTTCTCTTGGAAAGATTAAAGCTTCCTTTTTTTTTTTTTTTTAAATTTTTCTTTTTAAAGTAAGTTCAGTTGGCATTATTAAATTGTTTCCATGCTGATGATGTGCAGTAGTAAATAGTTCTATTAGTTTCAACTTGAGCCACAGCAGTATAATATTTATTTTGGTAAAGGTTTTACGGACTGCTTTACTGATCTTGTGTGTGAAATATGGTGTCCTTTGTCCAATATCAGTTAATGACCATAAATACGTTCTTCAAAGGACAAACGGAATTTTCTGCGGGATCCCCCAGCAGGTGTGCAGTTTAATTTTGACTTTGATCAAATGTACCCTGTTGCACTGGTGATGTTACAAGAAGATGAACTTCTCAATAGGATGAGGTTTGATCTCGTTCCCAAACAGTAAGTAATTTCTGCTGGTAACTGTGTATCACTGTACCTTTAATGTTTCTGTAAATACCCATAAATTACTCTTTGTTCTTTTCGCTTCCTTCAATTATTTGTGTTCTTCCGATGTATGTTTTTTTATCTGCTCATGTCAAATGTGTGGAATACTACATGTGCATAGAAGTTTAGCAGTTGGAGGAAAGAACAGAAGTACATCTATTAGACCTTCAGAACCAATAAGGACCTGTAAACTTAAGTATGGGAAAGGCCTTTAGTTTTCCATGTCCGATGTGCTAAATTAATTTTTTTTTCCCCAAACAAAGGTAAATGCAACAACAAAAATATTCAGATCTGTTGGTGTAACTGACAGCCCAAAAGGTGGTCACAGATAGTCAGAGACCCCAATGGAGAAATGGTAAAAGAATGTGTCACGAAGCAGCAGCAATGCAGGCACGAAAAACTGGGTTTGAATAGGCAATGGGAAGAGCTCTGCATTGCAACTGCCTTCCTTCTAGTGGACCTTACTCAAAGATCCAAAGGTCTTTGTCTGAGCAGTTATGGCCTGTTCCAGTATGCCTTCTTGGCCACACTTTATTCCCTAATTGTTCTTCCTTGTCCAGTCCCAGACTCTGCTCCTAAAGCTTGTTTCACAAGTCAACATTGTTTTGAAGTGGGAGTTCTCAACACTAGTCTACTTGTCTAAGGATGAAAACAGAAAACATTTTTCTTTGTGACCTTTTCTGTTTTAAATTTCCACCTTTTCTAAGCCTCTCCAGCTCTGCGTTCTATTTTCCTTTTCCCTGCTTTCAGTCCTGAAGATCTGCCCATGTTCTGGGTTTTCATCAGATCTGTCTCTGGTGCTCCAGCCTCTGGTCATGCTGTCTTTGCCTGTTCTACCACATTGCTTAATATCTTTTTTCCCCCTGTTCTTAGTTTTGGTGGTCATTTCTCTTTCTCTCTCTTTCCTCTCTTGAACTACATACTTTCCTCCCCACAGGTCTTGCCATTTCTGCCTTCTTTTGTCTCTGGGTTAAAGTTGGGTCTTTTCTTGCTTGCTGGAGGGATTTCAGAGGGAAATGTTACCTGAGATATGAGAGAGTCTCCCACTTAACAAAGCTGATCGTTTCTGGGATGTCAGTTTCTAGTTACTAAAGGTTACTGAAACAGCTAAGTGAAACAGTTCTGCTATCAAAGGAGTTCCAGTTCCACCTGATGTCTAGGGAAGATGTAGATGAATATATTTTCACAACAATAGAATGTTGAGTTGTAGAGAGGAAGTAAAGAGAACAGGATTGTTTGGCTTGTTGGGTTAGTTTACATAGTTAGTCAAGAGAGATGGAACAGCATAACATTTTTCCATGCTGTGTGTTGCTGCATGCTGTTAAGTTTTTTCTAAAGTCATAACATTATTATTATATCGTTCAAGTCTGTTGCAACTGCCTTGTAAGAGATCAAGAAATTCTACAATGATGGATTTTTTAAAATGCGTTAATATCACAAATTTCTTTATTAAGTTTTTACTTAAATAGCAGCTATGTCTACTCCTTCACTCTGCATATTTAATTTTATTTCACTGCTAGATGGTAAAAGGAACCATATTTCCAAATGTAGTAATCAAAATCTATTTCTTCTCTCTAGCGTAAAGGAGGAGGTGTTCTGGAGAAATTATTTCTACAGGGTGTCCTTAATTAAACAGTCTGCACAACTCACTGCGCTTGCAGCTCAACAGCAAGCAGTAGGAAAAGAAGAGAGCAAAGGCAGAGAAGAGGACAGTGAACTGAAAGGTATTGGAAACATTTGTTTTAGCACAGCTCATTAACTTACTGTCATGCATGCTCACCAAATACATCAGGTGCCATCAAATTTTTGTCCTGGATTTCCTATTAAATCAGGGCTTCTCTCATCATACTTGGTATGTTTGTGTAGCTTGTGGAAGAAGATGCTCCTAGTGCTTTCCACTGTTTTCCACCTTCAGCTATCTGTGTCAGAGGAATGGAAATCTCAAGAGGAGAAATGCTGTACTTGGCTTATAACAGCTCATGACCACTAGTGGTCTCAGGTGTGCTTTTTTGACTTGTCAGAAAGAAGTAGGAGATAGTTTTGGTTCATTTGGTCAGACAACTAGCCAACCCAGCCAGCTGGCATATGGTTTGCCCTTGGCTTTTGCTCATCCCTCAGACCAAACAGAAATTAGTGAGTGATACAGAGGTAGAATTTTGGTGGTGGTGGAGGCAGAGATATGTGCAGGATGTGGAAAGGCCCACAACGTATTATAGAAGTGGAGAAAAATGGGGACCAAGAGGTTACCTGGGATTCAGTCTTGTGATGAAAAAGCCACTTCAACATAGGTGTCTTCAGTTACATTGATCATTTTATACTGGTGATTCTTACTGACCCTCTTATGAACCACTGTGCCTCTTTATCTGCATGCAAACAAGTTCTGCGAGCAGGAATATATGCAGCTTAAGGAGCAGAAAGCAGTTAGTGGCAAAGATGCAAAAGATAACCAGTAGTTGATTAAATCTTAGCTTAAGCTAGGTGGGCTCACCACCTCTGGTAAGACGTTTGAAGATTCTTGGCAGGCTGGGCAGGCACTGGGCAGAAGGAGAAAGCTTTTGCTGCACCCTGGAACAGCTTCTCATATCCCCAATATCCATAAATTGTCATCATCCATGAAATCCATTAGTACTCATGTCCTGTCATGTTGACATGCTGGCCTGACTGACAGCCAGCTGATCACTGCCAAGTTGACTTCTTTTTCCTCCCTTTCAAATACAGTAGCTTTCTTGGTATTTTTCCTCTTGAGTCCTTGCACTGCCAGTGGTCCCATCTTTCTACTCCTGCCTCAGTTTCTAATGTCTCCTTCCTTATTTTTTTACAGACTTTCTCACAGGTCTTTTGCACAGCTTATTAACTTTCTTCACAGTTTGAGCTAAGGTTAGTTCAACTAGAAGATTAGTTCAGCTGGGCCTTGGCTCGTTGGACACTGGCAGCTGCACCTTGGGGTAAAGGGGAGGTTACAAATGGATTTTCAGAGATGGACTTGTATGTTGAATGGAAGATACCTTTTTGAAAAGGACTATAGTAGCTTCCTCAAGCTTTTGTGTGTGTATGTGCTGTGTTGTCAGTTTTTCATTTTGTTTCTCATAGGTTCTGTTTGGAGTGTGCCTGTGCCAGCCTAGGCAAGGTCCCCATCTAGAGTGAAATAAGTAGTTTTCTCTAAGTTAATATCCAAGCAGCACTGACAGGACAGGCTATTCCAGCATCTACTGCAAACCAAGAGACACCAATTCCCACTTTTTTTATTCAGGACAGTTGTCTGCTGTCAAAAACTATGGGTTTTTAGATTGAAGTGTCTCAACTCTACAGGACAGATGGCATTTGACCCTATTGAACAACAAAAATGTTATGTTTGGGTCATCCAAACCCTCAGAAATGGCCAGTCAAAGCAAAAGTTGCTGGATTCTAGTAAAATTTCCATTGTGACTAAATCAAAACATATCTTTAATTTAAAAAAAAACCAAGCCACTGTCTTTTGACCTGTTGTGGCTCTCATATAGTTTAGACCACCATACAGTGTAGGACATGCAAATAGATTTACTGTCCTATTGACTCTATGTTCTGTAATGGAAAGGATACATATACTAGACTGCAGTAAATACATGTTTTGTTTCATTCAGAAATGGCATAGATTTGGGAAGCTCTGAATCATCCGTGTTATTTTTGGCTAAGTAACCATTTTGAAGGTTGGATTCCCTAACTGGAGGCTAAAACTGGAAGTAATTGCCTGTTGGTAATTCTTCATAATATTCAGTGTTTCTTCTGAAAGCCGACTGTCTATAAAATAGAATTGTTAGCCTTCCATTTTTATGTCTCTCTGTCTCCTCCTTAACTGCTCTTTTCAGAAAGTTAAATTGGCATGGTTGATGTGAAAGGAAAAAAGAAGAGACAAATGGAAGACTGTTCCACGTTCTAGTCTTAAGAGAGAGGATGGAACAGAGCAGTGGGTGTTGAGTAGATGAGCTGTAAAAGCAGTGATAGCTACCAATTAGGAAATTATTTTAATTAAAACTGATCTTAATTTTAAAAACTAAACATAAAAAAATTCCCTGTTCTGAAATTGCTGAGTTAGCAGGAGGGGTCCACCTGGGCGCACTGCAGGAAGCAGAGCTGTGAGCTCAGAGCTGCTTGGCATATTTAAACCAGCAGAACTGCTACGCAAGCACCCCATCACTACCACAACTTGCCCTGTATTTTAATTGTTCTTGCAGCCACCTGGCTCTATATTATATCTACCCTGATAGTTGCACAGGGAAGAAAGTCAGGGTGTTCCTTTTCCTACCAGGAAGAAGATCTATCCTTGCCTGTAAACAATCATTATCTTCTAGCACCATTATACTAAATACAAAATGCACAGCAAGTTTTCTTAGGAAATTTAGACCAGCTTCTATGGTTTATGTTTTTCAGTGACTTCCTTTGCCATGTCAGTTGTAGTACCCAGCCAGGGGAGTTTGGGAACTTCTGTAGTAGACAGAACTGAATTTCATGACCAAGTCTACTTATTTGTAACTTGAATGATCTTGTGGCATGTGGTGCCATCTCTTAAGTTTTTTATAGAAGACGTTCTCTCCAGTTTCCCAAGTGTTTCTATCTACATGGGTTTTTGGATCATTTTGAGTGTCAGAGGGGTTCCTGTCCTTTTACTTTGGAGTCATATTGACAAAATGGTTTGCCAAATTTGCCTTAATTAAGAATAGTAAATTGCTTCTCTTCCATTTTGTTGTTTCAAATGCTTCACCCATGGCTGAACTCAGCCTTTAACCACCAGGATTCCTCAAATCTTAAAATGCAATATTTCCCTGTATATTTAATAGACATACAGATTAAATTATATTTTTACATATTTAAATGTAATATACTTTTTTTCTCTCCTCCTTCATAGAAACAGTACGACCGAAAACACCACCTGTTACGATAAAGCCTCAAACAAAATCTCAAGAGGTAAAAATGCTGGTATATTTTATATGGTATTTAGTATGTGAAGCTGTTCCTTATTAGGTAATTACACATCCTTTTGAGTAAGTTTTGCTGTGAAATCATAATAATATAGTATCTGATAGTCCTAGCCTGCTGCTTTTTTGCTGTGATAATGATTTTTAGCATATGATCTTGAAACTCATTTTCATTAGAAGAAACAGTAATTTATCTGAAGAATGCTTTCATTAGTATCTTGCAACTTATAATAAGATATGTTTTTCCTCCCAAGAGTGACATTTCCAAAATCTTTGGAGTAGAAGGTTAGCATTGTATTTAGACAATGAGGAGTACCTTCATAAAAATGTACTTGTGTGCCATGTTCTGTCCAACTCTTCACACATGGTCAGGCTGGAGTGTAGGAAATCTAAATGATGCCTTGCAATAGCAACACTGTTTTATAGCACTTTTACTTGATACTGCAGAAACCATAGGCATGTAATGACCCTTGTTCATTTCTGGATTGTAAAATCGGTGCCAGAGAACACTCTTGGCAGAAGTAGAGCTATGCATTCACTTGCCAATAATATGCAGGGGACTAAATTAAGCTACAAAGACTTCCAAAGAACAGTCCTCTGTTAATCTTATTCTTGTGTAGAAAACTGTTACTAAATTGTGGTCAAATTTTTAATATTAGTCTTAGGTCCTGTTCTAAACATGAGTTTGTTATTGTTTCTGAAGATTACAAAAACAGAATTAAAGTTGTGAAGCAAACATAAAAAGGCAGCCTGGGATGTAAAGCAGATCATTTTCAGTACAACTATCTAACATTTTTGTCTGTACAAAAATACTCTTAAAGAAAAGTATCCCATAAAGAAAAATAGTTGTCAGAAAAATGCATTTGGTTTGGTTTTTGCTGACTCTATTTAAAAGCAGTCACATGAGCAGAAATACGTGTTGGTGACATTTCTTCCACCGTCTGGATAAGTTTATACTAAACTGTCTTGCTGCAGGATGAGGAAGAGATTTCCACAAGTCCAGGTGTATCAGAATTTGTGAGTGACGCTTTTGATGCCTGTAACCTGAATCAGGAAGACCTAAGAAAAGAAATGGAACAACTAGTGCTAGACAAAAAGAAAGAAGAGACTTCAGGAGTAGAAGGTAAAGCTATTATTACCTCTGCATGTTAAGTAGAGCAATTCTAGGAAAGGCTGATTTAAAAAAAAAAAAAAGAGTTGTACTTCAATTTAGAGAAGTAGATTTGTGACAGTTTTTTCAAAGTGTATGAAATGAGAATTTAGCAAATTTTTCAAAGTGTATGCAATGAGAGATTGCAGAAATTAATTATAATTTTCACCACGATCAAAACACAAAATCAAAACACAGAATGTTAGCTATGAGGGGTTTAAATCCAAAGCATTTAAGAATTTTTAGGTCGCTCTTCCATGAAAGTGAGTATGGGGCATTTTTTCTGTGTATCTCCTCCTTTCCCTGTCTTCTCTTATTGGTTCTTATGCGTACAGTTTTTTGTTTCCTGTACATTGACATCCTTGTAGGTACAGTATGGTATTTGGAAGTCAGGCTCTGTTTTCTTCTTGTGGCACCAGCTAAAAAGGCAGTATTTGCACTAGACTACGAGCTCGCAGAGGCCTCTGCTCTAAAAGGTTTAGAGGCATTTGGAACAGTTAAAATTTAACAAATAGTTCTGAGAATGATGAGAAGAAATTAGGTGGAGCTTATACTTAAAATAATTCAGAAGAACTAATATTAATGTAAAGAGCATAAAAATAGTCTGTGATGATCGGGCTCTGGCCATACTCAATGAACAATTTACTATGAATACACTTGTATATATAGATGATTATCAGGTAATTCACCACAATTTTCAGAATTCATCTTACAATGTGCTTTGGATGTTTCTGAATCATTGTTTTCTGAATTTTTTTTTCCCAATATGTAGTCAAGCTTGAGGAATTGTTATGAGTAAACTCAAATTCTTTAATCTATTTCTTTGATGAAAGTGTTTCACTAAGTCATTAATGTGCTATTTGTTCAGAGAAATCTCAACTGGCCTTACTGACTTGGACTATGGAATTGCGTACCTTTGTATCTAGGCTGAAGTACTAAACAACATGTAACACATCAACACCCGTCTCCTCCCCCACACTCTTGCCTATGATAGGTAGAGCTAATTAAAACAGAGATTAACAACACTGTAATGCCTTCTGACTCAGTTTTTGCCCTGAAGTATGAAATATAGTTACCTTTAACCCTGATTAAATGAGCTTGCCTAGCTACAAATGCCAGTGAGGAGAATACCCACTTCTTTGTTTTAAATTAGCCACAGTATTTGATCTTGATTTTTTTTTTCTCATAACAGTATATCAACACATTTATGAACTTCATATTTTATGGAGATTTAAAAGTGCAAAGTTGATTCAGTTTATAGCAGACGGAAAGACTGTAGGAAATGATCTTGCAAAGGGATGCTCATAATGACTTAGCTATGTATTTGCTTTTTAGATCTTTATTATAGTATGCACATAGGCATATGGACTTGTATATTACTTAATTCCTATTTGTGGTCAATAAGGTGAAATTTCTGATCTTGAAGTTTCTTTAGTTTTTAGGAGAATTGTCAATAACGTTTAGGAAATACAGGAGAGGTTCAGTGCAGATTCATCTGCTTTTATATAAATAAGCAACATTCTATACGTCAATTAAATTCTTACACATTATTTATCTCTTATAGAAGAAACTGCTGATTGGGAAAAGGAATTACAACAAGAGCTTCAAGAGTATGAGGTGGTGACAGAATCGGAAAAGCGTGATGAAAACTGGGATAAAGAAATAGAAGAAATGCTGCAAGAAGAAAATTAGGCATTTTCACAAAACCACTATAACCCAAAGGTTTTTCTGAGGACTGACATGGATTTCTGCTTTCATATTTTGCTTACAGAAATATCTTCAAAAGACATACAAGAATCTAAAATCATTATAATTCCATATGGGAATACAACCAGTATTTCTGTTCTTTATATGAGCAGTTTCTGAACTTCTATATTCTTCAAAAGAAAAAAAAAAGAGGAGGCAGACACTGCAGGTTACATGCCATAATTAAAAGTAATAACATTAATACATGAGCAACAGTTCATGTTTTTAGGTGGTCAAGAAGCTCTTCAAAGAGATTTCTAAATCTAAGAATCAATTTTTTTTTTGTCTACAGCCTTCTGTTTGGGATGTAAAAATGGGTGTTGTAAGTAACTTAGTCCTTGAAAACAATTCTCTCTTGATATTTGCACTCTGATCCCTGTATAATCTGTAAATGTGTACTATTTTTGAGGTACTTGTAGTAGTAGATTTCATGTGTATTTAACTTCCTTAATGTATGTAGCCAATGAATTTATAGAAAACCCTATTGAATAACTTTCAATGATTTGTTAAAAAATACTAATGCAGACCTCCAAAAGAAGCTGATTATTTATCAGTCAGGTGGCAAACATTTAAGCATTTAAATAAGGATAGAATTATTAACTGCTTAAATTAAATATGTTTTTGTTAAATCATCATATTAAGATATTTTCATTCCCCACAGAGAAAAATGGTTTAATGCATTCTTTCTGCAGAAGGCTGTTATGTTTCCATTTAATTTTGCTGTCTGAGCTGAGAGCAAATTAAATGTTTCTCCTTAAGTGCTGAAACATTTAGGTAAAAACTTTTGCTGGTTTGGACACCTTTATTAAATACTGTAGATATGTATAAAATTGTCTCTTTTATTTGGAAGAAGGGCAGAGTGAGGGGCAAGCACACTTCAGACTTACACAGATTTCAAAAATATACATTGTCGCAATGCGTAAGACATGGAATTTAAATTAAAAAATAGGGGGTTTTCTCTAAAAGATTTTTGATTCTTCATGGGCATCTAAATGTTTCCTGTAGTTTTACCATTAAGTCAGTATGATTATATATATAAATGAAAATTTGATGTTCTGTTTGTCATCTATTTCATAAACTTCTGTGACAAAACATTCTTGAAATTCCAAATACAGAGGAAAATGGGTAAAATTAAGTAGGTTGGAGCCATTAAGCACAATTGAATTAAAGGCATGTTACATACAGTAAGCTCTGTCTTAATGACATAATTCTGCAGAAAACTTTTGTAAAGAGACTGAAAAAGATTATAGCTGTAATTACTCAGTCAATATTCATCTCGTGGGAATTGAAAAGAGCTAAGTAGTTTTAACTGCTGTTACTGCAAGAAAGGTCTATTTAAAATTGTCTCCATTAGCAACTTGGACAGAAAACTCTCCTGTATTTCTCATTATACGAAAGGAATTGTTTTAAACCTGCATATATTTGGCTTTTCAGATTAGTTTATTGTCATGTGCTTTCTCAACTACAAACCGTTTTATGCACAATTTGTATTTTTATAGTGTTTTTCACTTAGTAAACAGATGTGAGATAAGTCATGGTAAATAAGAGGTACTTAAGGAGCTTTTTATATCTAGGATTAATTAAAGGCCACAAAAGTTAAATCTGTTACGCTTAAAAAATGGGGCTATTCACAGCTTAATGGTTACTCTTGACAAATTCAACTGCTTGTAGATTTAAGCTGGAGATACTAGGATCTGTCTACTGTACAGTTTGACACGCCTTCTAAAAAAATGGGTAGTTCTATTCTGAGAGTGGCAAGCCTTCCCTGGATGACTAAGAGGTCAAAGTCTCCAAATGCCAGTCTTCAGTGCTCCAAATGTCCACTTCCTTAAAAATAAGCCTGATCGTTCCTAGTGTTTTCAGATGTATTATTACCTGATTTGCATGGGGTTTGTACACGAAGCCTCGTGGTTGCTTTCATGAAAGCATAATCTATATAGTGGTTATAGATATTAAGCCCCATCTCTCATGAAAGATGGTTCCTACATATAAAACCTTTGTTTTCCAAGTTCCATGAAAAGCATCTCCATGAAAAAAATAAACCAACCCACTATTTGAATTTACATTTAAACAGGCAATAGTGTAGTGAGGCTGAATCTGACTTAAACTGTGGTATTTAAAGTCTCTTATCAAATATCATATTAATATTTTCAAATCTGCATATCTGGTTTTAACCTGTAAAACTGAAATAAGTTTCGTGTAATTCTGCAGTTTTCAGGCCTGCCTTATGCTTTTCATTTAGGTAGGTGCCACAAGTGCCTAGCAGTTCTTATTCTGCATGGGAAGACAGGAAGTGTCTGCATTCCGCTTGTCACATGAGATGAACACAGGTAGATTTCTTCACGTTCTTTGTGAATTTTGTATGCCATTTTTGTAGCCCAAATGTGTCATAATAGTATATATACATATAGTATGTAAGCAAGTGTGCTGGTGTTTTCGTCATAGCATCATTCCAATCACTGGGATGGTGCAGATGCTAAAATCCAGCAACACAACAGTATGAAATCAATGACAAAATGAAAAGAAACCAAGAATAAATGTAAATCACACTATTCTGTGGATACAATGTGACAGAAAATGCAGTTGTTTAAAACAGTGAGGAGAAGCAAACAATCAAAAGGATTGTTAACAAGTTTTCTTAGAAGAAGCTGAACTTGCAAATTTTGGAATTAACCTTTTAGAAACAGGGAAAAAATTACCCAGAAATCACGTAGATTAGCTTAGAATAGTGATATAGCTTTCTTCTGAGATGCCAACATCTCCAGTTCTGTGCACTGAAGAATCCTCTTCAGCTATTAAATTACTAGTCCAGTTGGTATGAGTTAATTCCTATATGGAATTTTTTTATTTAGTAATCTTTTTGGAGGATGAGGAAGAGAAAAGATTGTAAAATTCTGCAATAAGAAAAGTGTAGTGAAAAGTTCCCTCACATTTTTATTCAATCACTTACAGCTGTTCTCTTATCATAGTTAACCTGCATGATTTTAGTAAACTTTGGATTTTTTTAGTTTGTTTCTTCAGGTTTTTTTTCTCCTTGCTGTTTGGTGATCTTGGTGTTTGCTTGGTGGGGTGCTGTATGTAGTACTGAAGCACAGGATGTCAAATTTAACCTCATGCATTCAAAGAATAACTCCATGTGCAGGAGCCTGTCACCAGACTGTGAGATGCACCCTTGAGCTGTCGGCCACTCACACATTACTGACCTCTACTTTGCAATAGCTATTGCAAAGAAAGGAACAAAGTGTGTCTGGTTACTCTTCAGTGCATTGCCTAGCAGGAGCAGCCACACTGGGCCCTCAGTCCATGGGCTGTGTCTGGAGTGTTGTACTGTTCCAGTGTCAGGAACCACCCTGATAATGGTCTGGGTTTCAGTTCACCAGGAGTTCAGAAGATTTATTGTCTGGCCTGATACTCCATCTCAGTAAGTGCTGACATATATCTGTAACAACAGTGCAGTAGCCTAGCCCTAAATAATGTTACCCATTAGTAGATTTTTCTTCTAAATATTCATTTTTGATGCTTTTTCTCCTTTGTTTTAAACATTTGGGGTCTCTTGGGGGGTGAGGCAAGAGGGTCATTAGATCATCATTCCAGTTTTTTTAAACAAAATGGCAAGTAACAGTCAATTAATGTCTTGCTATATTTTCTTTGTATATATTAAAGTTAACCACTGGAGAAAACAACAATTTCTGCAAAAAATCATCAGAAGACATGCATGGGTTCATTTTATTCTCAATATAGCCCAGTTTGTTATATACAAAGACAATGTATATATATATATGCAAACCCACATTTATTAATGTGTCTAAAATATATTTTAAAAATGATAATGTACTTTTCCTGTTCAGCTGTTACTTTTAACTAGATACCATTGTGAGACAAGGAGCAACCAAAATAATTAGCATTAGTCTGTCACACTATCATTTTTAATGAGACAGCACTCTGTAGAAATTGTCTGTAAAAATGAAATCACTTGCTTTGTTTCCTAAAAGCCTGGTTTTCATTATGGCACAGGTTAGGGATGTTTGTTTTCCTTTGCTAGTTCAGGGATTCATGAATCTATGACAAACCTCTGCAGATAAACTTGGAAGGTATACTTAATTCAAAACTACATGGGCAGATAGGTTATTTTGTCTCTGTGATTTTGGCAAAGTAGGGAAAGACAGAAAAATGCATTTAGTTCAGGGTAATATATAAAATTAGAAGAATAAAGATTTGATGCATGATTTGATACATGATGCTCTAAAGAAAACCATGCTTAGTGTGGGGTTCTTATATGAACACACAAAACTTTAATGATGTGGTTGCTTTTATTTATTTGTTCTCTTGGCTATGGTTACTATACAGTGGAAGTGTGAAGGTTTCAGAGCCAGATAAAACCACTGCTTTTCTGCATTTCCTCTCCTTCCCAAGGAGAAACGAGCCCCATTTACTCACAGTCAAATAATGGCCAGAGAATGAATTGATTATCCCCAGCTTCTTGTCCCACTTACTTCAGAAATGTTTTATTGATGGCCCTATGCCCATTCATGACTTTGATGCCTGCAATTTAAACATCAAACAGTTCTGGATGAGCTGTATCATCACTGCCTTTCATCCTATATCATGTGTAACAAGACTTTCAGGACCATCGTGTGTTGGGTGGATGTAAGAGTGATACTTGGAGGAAAGTAGAGGATAGGATAGAATATTTTAATATCATATTTTAAGGGGGGCGTTTTTCCATATACCACAGAGTTTGTGGCAACTTTCCTTAGAGCTCATTCACCTTTGGAGTTCATTTTCTGGGAGGAATGTGTGACATGGTCAGGCATGTAAGAGAAAGCACCACTCAGCTGACACATCTTGATTTCATCTTCTGTTTTACTCCTCATGCCATTCCACATGTACCCTGACATCTTGTTTGGTTTTATTTGTAGCTACATGGTATGTTCAGCCAAGAACATGTTTCCAGTATTGTCCACACTGGGCTCCAGGCAATTTCCCTAGTAGCCATCATTGAATTTTAGAATCCTGTGAAGTGGAAGAGTGGTGATTTGAGTTGGATCTTTGGTTTGTTTGCATTTTTCTCTTCCTGCCTTCATTTTAATTTTTGATTAGTCTTTCTGTGAGAAGTTCCATTGGAAGAATTACTGTTCCTACTCAGTGTCATGGTTTCACCAGGAAGAAAGTGTTTCAAGAACAATTCTAATAGTCCAGAGCTGCTTCAAACTTTCAGTAAAAGCAGTTATCGTAATAATCATGGGAAAATGACAATTTGTTACTGCATTTCAGTAGTTCCCTGACTGCATTGCATGTAAGAAAAGAAATAGTATCTTTATTTCACAGTTGTTCAATTGTCATTGTTTAGAGGTTTGAGTATCTAGTTCTAGTTTTCACTTTACTAATCTTATTAAAACATAATGAAAGAACTCATTTTTCACCCAGTTGCCTGGGAGTTGTCGTCCACTGGGAGTTGTTGTCCACCCCTCTCCCAGTGAGGGTGGTGAAGTACCCAAGAGAGGTATCAGACTGGCTGATACATGTACAGGGTTCATGAAGTTGGACTACTCTCGAGTATGGTGATAACCATGTAACCTGGATGTAGTTCATAAAAATAGACTACTCAAAACATTTGTAAAAAGTTGATGACTAAAGATTTTTACTAAGGGATACTTAGTAATATCTTAATTAAAAAGAGCTTATTTTCCTAAAATTTCAGCTTCTTGCCTGTCAAAACATGAGACCACTCCACCTTCTTGGCAGTGGCCAGTTGGGTGTAACACCTACTTGGCAGCTCCTAGTGCACAGGATTGCACAAGCAATCTCCAGCAAGGTCATTAACAGGGCACAACTGAAAATATGTTCTCAACCTCCTCTCAGTACATGTACTTACTTGCAGGAGTGGAATATGAATTTCCAGTACTGTTGACATGCACTTCGTTGGTAAGTGCATTTTTGAGGGAAAGCAGTTCACAGAAACACAAAAAGAGACATAGGGATAGCACCATAAATGTAATTGAAAATACTAAAAGTAATTTTTTTTTCATTCAATTTCACATGTGTGTTCTTGAGAGGACAACAGCACAGCAGGCAAACGGTGTCTGAGTTGTGAAGCTGATGGTATCTCTCTCACTATGCCTTCATCAGCTATCTTCAAAAAAACCTGAACCTTCTAGAAAACTGACTTACCAGCGAGAGTATCTTTCTTCACAAAAGAATTAGAATTGATCTGTGTCACTGTATCAGAACCCAGACAGTTCATGTGTGAAAAGAATTACTGCTGGAAATATATTCTCTCACATCTGATAGTTTCTGAAGAAAACTCCCCCTTGACAGAATAGCCTCATGTTTGCTTCTGTTGCATAATGTATGCTAACCTCCCTGGCACCTAGACTCACCAAAATAGGCCTCACAATGAATTTTATTACAGTAAAGGCTGACAGCCAGCAACAGCTCTGTGTTTCTTTATTCCATTCTCTCTCAAAGTAGTTATTTTTAATTAATTTTCCTTCTATTCCAAAAAAATGTCTGAAAGGGGAGAGTACAGAAGTAATTTATATTTTGCTACATACATATACTTTCAAATAATGCTTGGGAGAAATTAAAAGAAATGTTAAAACCCTATTTAAGGGTTGCAGGAGCCAACATGGGATCAAACAGAGCATATTGGAATGGATCTCTTGCTACTCTCTAATGGAAGGGATGCATGGGGAAAATCCCAAATCATCAAAACTCTGCTGGGGAAGAGGAGGGATCCATCTTTCTTTTTCCAAGAATTGTACCAGTATTATGCATGTTTTTAAAAAGGACGAGTGTTATTTTGTGGATGAAAATCTCCATCTAAAGATAAGGGTGATACCCAAAAATGTAAAATTAATTTTTACATTGAAATTACAGTTGAATAATTCTGATAAGTATAGATTTAGGATGTAAGGACAAAATGTAAGCAGGTACTGCCTCACTGAAGCTACTTTATTCAACACTGACACTTGACCTATTCTCTGAAGTACTAAGTGCTTAGGAAGGTTTAGAGTGATATTTTTTGTTCAGAAACTCTGAAATTCCCGCCATATGTGAAGTGGGAAGTGGGTTTATTTCCCTGGAAAACAAGAACATACGTATTTCTAGGATGCAGCAGTTTTAAGTTACTCCACAGCGGTCCCGACAGCCGAGGCCCACGCGTGCACATGGCACGGCCGTGTTCCGCAGGAGCGCAGGCGACCCTTGGCAGCTCCGTCCTCCCCTCGGTGTGCTGAATCCTTGCTTCCACAGGCGCGATGCTCAAGCCTAGAGAGGAGCTCCTTGTCGGGGCAGGCTCCGGGGGCGATGTTCCACACACACTGGCATCTCCAGGAGGTGCGCTCCGTGCAGCCCTGGCCTCGGCTACCCCTGCCAAGCGATTCCTGGCAGAGCTTCCTTGCGACCCCCGCACACACGCCCTGCTTTTCCTGCAGGAGCAGCAACTCTGCTGAGTATCACTGAGGATCTCCAGGAGCCTCGCTGGAGATAGCCAAGGACCGCCTGGCCGCGATCGCGTTGCCGTGTGCTCTGGGATGACCCTGCCCGAGCAGGTTCGACCACAGGACCGGCTGCGCCGCTTTCCAACCTGGCCCACTCTGTGACTCTGCTGACCCCGCTGCCACCCCAGGGCGTCCCGCGGGCACCGCCCCGCGCCCTGCTCCATCACGGGCACACCGCTGGGCTGGCCCCGACTTCAAAGCCGTGCCCAAGGCAGGAATAGCGACAGGGTAGGCGGGACACGGGGCGGGGACCAGCCCGCACTGACGCCGCTCCCCTGCGGCCATGCCGCGCCCCCGGCCCTCCGCGGCAGGACTACAACTCCCGGCACGCCCCGCGGCGGGGCGGGGCGCGGGCCCCACGTGGGGCTTAGAGCTGCCCGTCGATTGGTCGGTGCCGGGAGGGGGGCGGTGCGGCGGGGAGCAGTTCCGGTGCCCCGCGCTCGGCACTTGTTTGGATGCTGCCGTCACATCATGGCGACGCGCGGGGGCGGCGGCGCGGCGGGACCGACCCGGCGGACCCGGAGCCCGAGCGGCGGCCGAGGGGACGAGGCGGCCCCGAGCGGCAGCCCCGAGGTGAGACGGCGGCGCGGGCAGGGCCCGGCGGGAGGGCGCTCCGCCTCCCCTTCCCCGCCGGCTTGCGGCGCCGCGCTCCCCGCTGCCCCGTCCCCACGCGGCCGCACGGGGCAGGGGCGGGCAGTGCCCCCGCCGCTCCCGGCAGCTTCGTTCCCGGGCTGCCCCCGAGGCCAGGCGTGGGCTGGGGAGGTGGTGCCGGTGGCCCCCGGGGGAGCCGCGCTCGCCCCGCGGGACCGGGGGCGGCCCCTCCGCGGGGGGCGCGGGGCGGTCCCGCCGAGCGCGGGCCGCGGGGGGGGCAGCACGTGGCGGGCGCGGGGGATGCGCGGCCTGGGGGTGCTCCCCCCGCCCCCCGGGGGTCCCCCCGGAGACCCCCCTGTGCCCCCACCGGTGGGAGCGGAGGGTGGCCCTGCCCGCGGGGGCGGCGGGAGCGTTTTCTTACCCCCCGGAATAGATAAAAAAAGGCCTTTTTCTCTCTTTTTTCCGTCCTCTGCCGAAACCACACTGAAAGCAGCGGTGTCCCCAGTGATGTTACAGTAATTTCTAGTTGCGCGTCCGCGTAGGAAAAGCCTGAAATACACCTACTTGGTCGCGGAGCGGCAAAAACTTAAAATATGCTGCGATTCAGCGGCTGTATATAATATCACCCACTCGGTGTTTTACGTGACAGAACCGCCTTGCGAATCTCGTGTGCTGCCTAAGTGTCTCATCCTGTGTCCTTACACAAATTCAGGTGGCTTTTTGCGGTAACTTTTTTCCGTGGTGCAAAGGATAACAGCATCCCAGAAATAGTAACTTTGTGGTGCTGGTGGTTGTTTATTTTGGCTGCTAGAGAGAGGTCTAGGGAATTACGGAGCTAGTTTTCCTCAATGAAAAACTGTCTTTTGCTATGTGTTTTGTGAAGATCTTTACTAAGAAGTGACTTGTAAGTAACTTTAATGTCTGTTATGAAATCAGGTTATGATGATGTTTAAAAGAGAACAAAACCCCAAACAAACCTGCATTCCATATTGTTTCAAATATTCACAGTCAAATGGTGAAATGTGGCAGGCAATGTAAAGCAAATTTTACTTTGAACTTTTTTCTCTGAATTAAAAACTGTTCAGCATTCTCTTGCACATTTCCCTCCCCCTGCCTTGATACACAGGAGCTTCTTTATTTTTAGGTTCCTTGTGACCTGTTTGCATTGGGAATTCAGAACTTGTCTACCCTGATTTTTCCAGAATCATACTGTGGATGACTTGAAAAATACTGGGTTTGTAGTAAGGAGGAAGTGAAACCTCATTGGCGGAAGTGATTCATGCTGTATTAAATGGTTTTCTTAATTAGCACCTGTCTTAGATGCTTACATTAAAGAAGGGTTGGTGAAATTCACAGCCCTGTGCCCTGCATGTAAATGCACTAAAAGTTTCCAAGTAAGCTTTGGGTTCCCGCAGTGAATTTTTTGCTAGAATTACAGGAAGTGTTTATCATGAATTTTTTAGGTCGCTCAAAGAATCACCAGCAAAAGCAGGTTTCATACAAAAGTGAAAGGACAATAGAGTTTGTTGGTAAGGTTCCCTCTACCGCTTACTGCATGGTTAAAGCACACAGAGCAAAATCACACTAAAATCAATCAATCTATACGAAAATGAACCAAATATTGGCTACTTGAAAGGCTGGGGAAGGGGGGAGAAATGAGAAAGATTGGGAAAAGTAAGGATAAAAGGGAGTAAGGGAGACCCTCCTGTTGAACCACAAGGCTCAGAGTAGACCCTCCTACCAGAGTTAGCCCCGGACTTGACCAACAGTTTAAGCCCAAAGGTTTTAACAGTTTAATCAATAGCTTAAGTTAAACAATTTAACTAAAGGTTCTGTAGCATTTACTATAGCACAACAGTAACTCGCAGGCCTCACTTACTTACTAAAGTACTTAAGAATCTCAGGGATTCACACGTTCTCAGTATAGGTGCTATAGCACACACAGACCTGAAGAGTACGTACAAGGTATATACCTGTAAAAAATTCCCCTCAAATCCAGGGAAGTACTCACGTCAGATGCCTTTCTGTCTTCTAAGGGGGCAGAGAGTTGGTCCTTGAGGAATGGTATTGGCCCAGGCTCCATCAGCATTCAGCAGTGGTCCTCCAAGGACAGCAATCTTGGGGGTTTTGCTGACTCTCAGAGGGAGATGCTGGCCACAGCCCACTGTGGTTCAGGAGAGCTCAAGGAATCTCATTTAGGACCTCTGTTTATAAGGTCTCAACAGAC